AACTTTATTCAATTTCTATCTTCGAGTCAAATTTATGGGAAATATATTTAATTTTTATCACCAAAAGTTAGTAGTCGGTAATAGCTTTGTATGTAAAATTTTTTCAAAAGTGCCGATTTTTATCATTCAAAAAAAGGATTCTTAATATGAGATACAAGGATTTCTTTATATAAGGTGGTATCTTATAATAAAAAATTAAGGAAAAAAGAAAGATGATAAACTTTTTATATATGCCTTTTATATATTACATAAAACGAAAAAATAGGAAAACAAAAAATTTAACAATATAATATAATATAGGATCATATATGTAATAACACAAACTACAGAACTAACTAAAGAAATCAAAGCCTTAAACGATCTAGCTAGATCTTAATTAATCAATTAATTAAATAAATTTATATACTACGTATGTACGCGGTACGTAACGCGCGGTTTCTAAGGACTACATACGTATAAATTCACATAAGACTCATACAAACATTAAGATTCAGTTAGATCATTTAAGGCTTTGATTTCTATAGTTTGTGTTGTCACATATACGGTCCTATAATATGTTATATTGTTTATTTACGTCGCCTAAAGAGACAGTATTCCTTCATGTGTCAATTATTGCGAAAAATATTACTAAGGCCTCAATAGTCTAAAGGTTTAGGACGCTCGCACGGAATGCAATCGGGTTTAACTTCCGGTCGAGGTAATATTTTTCGCAATAAGAATTAATTATTTACAGATTTTAATATGTCATTCAACATTATTATGATTGTTTCGAAGATGCGAATAAGCATCAAAAATTTGTTAAATTATTAGTTAATTTAACTCATGATATTACTGCGGTAGTTTAGTAGTTAGTAGAGTTAGCGTTTCAAGATCAAAAAATCATTTCGACGCGCGTTTCTAGGGAGGTATTACTACGGAGTATATAAATTCACATAAGAAGAAAAAATTTAAATGTTGTATGATAATTATATAATTTTTTTGGCGCGTGAGTGTACGTGTGTGTGGGAGGGGGGGGGGGGTATGTGTGTGTGAGAAATCTCAATAATAATAGAATCGTCATTTTTAACCAACCGTTCGATAGTATATGCTTTGGGATATTGAATTAGGAGTGCGTTCTGAGTTACGCATGAAGCGCATAGTGTATTTTATCCTTATTATTTGGTGAACAACAAGGACAAATGATGCATTATGCATTTCATGCGTAACTCGGAATGCACTCTAGATAGTCTTATATTAGTTAGGAATACCCTGAGTATCTCATATTATGACTTCCACGAGGTTTCACAATCACTAAATCTAATCTTTATAGTTAAACAAATCATTATATCACTTGTTTTCTTATTAATATCATCTTATTCTGTCACTGCATGTAGACTTTATTACCCAATATTTGTTTTTATATAATAAAATAAGATTCCAAGACTATACTTACTAGAAATTCCTAATAGATCCGTATTATATATTCTATAGGAATTTGTCTGCAACTACGATTACGATTCCTGTCTGTTTCTGTCTGGATTGTGTATGCATCGAATGCTAATGGTGTCTATCTGTACTTTCGAATACCATATTCATCTACACCTGGATGCAAAAATTGATACAATACATAGATGCAGATAATTCCAGTATCCATAATTACGGAGATTAGATACTGTCAGTGTCTGATGCACACAATCCAGACAGAATTTTTGTCACAGAAACAGACAGGAATCGTAATCGTAGTTTGCAGACAAATTCCTATAAGTTTACATTGCACACACAGATGCAGATAGGTACAGTTCCGTAATTGCGGATAGATATCAACATTCGATGCATATAAATTGCATCTGATACATACAGACAGAAACAGACAAGTTTTTCGACTACCAAAATTTGTAGATTTTAATACGTTGACAGATCTTCATTAAATACAATTACATTTTCTGTCTGCATTTAGAGATATAATAGTTGCTCACAGAAACATATAAGAATTGAATATTCTCTTCAAACAATGATATCCATTAAAATTCATTTCAGAAATTCTATCTATTTCTGACTGTTTCTGATTGTTTCTAATGGAAATTTTTAGAGGCAATGAGCCGTAAGTCACTCGGAAAAAGCATCGTACGTGTGCCAACTGCTAAAGTGCTAAGTACATTCGTATAGATATGAATAGAAACATAAATTGTGGATAGAATATACTCACTGACATTTGCTCAAACGCAAATAGAAACCAATAAGTCATATATTCGGAAATACAATCACAATCCAGAGAATTTAAAAGCCTGCAATTGTAGATAAATTATGTGCACGACAATACATAGAGAAACGTATAACGAATATCCGCTGTGCGACAGTTTCACGCACATATATCGGCTGTTTGTAAATGCGTATAAATTACGATAGCGCAAATTTGTATAGATACGGATAGAAAATATTCGTAAACTGCGACTAGATTCCAATATCTGATAATGACCACGCAACGCAAACAGATATATCCTATATTCGCAAATACGAATGTGTACCAGTATTCGTATATCAAATAGAACCTGATTAATTTTTTGTTGTAAAATACAGATTATTTAATGTTGCGTGTAAGTGCATGTAAATGTATGTAATGGAAACATTAAATGTTGCGTGTAAAAGCATAAATTTTACATTCGCAAATGAATGGAAAAGCATATCCGATTGGTTATGATAAATTCAGAAACATTATCGATCAGCATTCGCAGATATATTCAATTTACAATTGATAGAAACGTGTAAGATTTTGTAGTAGAAATTTTTTGATGCGGATACATCCAAATATATACCAATAATTTTTTATAAATTTGGATAAATCACGTATATAGATTTATCGGTTTCTATTGAAAATTTCCGGCGGGAATAACTTCATTAAAATAAAATTTGACAACATCCAATTTTACAAATATTTTTTTGTAACGACACGTATGATCTAATAAATATTCTACTAAATAGGTTTTACACTAATTGTAAGAGTAAAAAGTTCATGATAGAACAAACACATGCGCTTATTAGTTTAGTAGAAATCCCTATATCATAGTAGAAGCCTATATCATAATAGGTGACCTACCTACAGAATTTCATCAATTTCAAATTTGAATAACTTTTGTCTGGGACTGTAACCAAGACATCCTTAAAAGCATCTTTGAAATAACGTCTAATCAAGACACCATGCAATAGAGAAACGTTATTTTCTATCGAAATAAACATTTGCGATTTTGCTTTCCCTTCTTAGTTGTTTGAAGATTCTCATTCAACATGAAGTTTAAAACAATATTGCTACAATGTTTGCAATGTTATTGTAACATTGATGAAACATTGTAATGATGCTGCAATATGACTGGAACAATCTGTGGCGTAAATTGAGTAAGCTATTACTTCTCGGTATTAATGTACATATATTTAACCATCTTTTGTCAGTGAATATTCTTTATTTAGTCAGTAGATATTCTTTATTTATGTTCCCCTATGGAGTTACAAGAACTTTTCATTTCCTACACTTACGTTTTTAAACGTTTTACTTTGTATTAAGCTATTTAATAAATTTACTTTGTACAAGCTATTTAATAAATAACGATAAATTTTTTGTATATGAGAATGGACTAAAATAGTCCGATAATCGTCATTAAATAGTTAAATTAAATGTCGATCGACATAGTTTGACCCGACGTCGCTTCATTATTAGCATGACAACAAGTTGCTGACATACTGCCAACGTTGGCCCAACATTGTCCTGAAGGTGGCCTAAAGTTGTCTTTGGATAAAAGTTGCCTGACATAGTCTGGGCCAACGTCGTGCCGTTTTTTGACACATTGCTAACGTTGGCAGTATCTCGACATTGGCTAATAGTCATATTCTCATATATGTAGTATTAAATAAGATTGTTATAAATTATTAAGTTATTTGTGAATTATATTTTAATTTAAATTACTTATAAATTATTAAGTTCAGATTAAGTTTAATTTAAGTTTAATTCAATTTTTAATGTTTCATGAATTAAATTTAATTCACTTTTAAATTTATATTATCATTTTTCGAATAACCATTAGTCATAATGCACAAATATTTAGAAAGGAATGCGTTTCCTGAACATACCTCGATATCCCATATACCTCATTATAATTATATAATTAGATAAAAATTATTGAAAAATAATTATGAAAATCATATTATAAAAACATAGATAGTTGGCTCAGTAATCGTCATGTTAACCAAACGCTTGACTTTGCAAATTTATATTTTTCAGATTGAAAAGTGAGTAACTGTTATTTTAAGTTATTTTAAATCAATTTTTTGTGATAAATAAAACGTCACTCTAAAATTCTTATATCTACTGTTGTTAAAAAAATCGTTCGTAAAAATTAGAAGGCGCAAATGTATGAGTTATCCATGCCGCTATAACAGTTTGCCCAATAATCGTCATAGATATGTCTCACAAATTGCCAAATATGTGTTTAATGATCGCATGCACGAATGATGGAATGATTCAGACACATAAATTTATATATATGTATATA